CTCGACAACGCGCCAATTTTGAAATTATAATTTCATTAGTGGTATATCTTCAATGCATTGAATATTTTTTTTCATTTGAAATTCCACAAGATGTGGCTTCCCCCTTCCGCTCGTTTTACAGTCGGCTAAATTTCAGTTAAACAAATAAAAAACAAAAAGCATTCACTCCGCAGAAAATAAAATTCACCCCGTTGACTCGAACACCCCCGCATGGGGTGTGGCGCCCTCCCTCTCTTGGGATGCAGTACTACGATGCCGCTGGGGTCACTCCAACCCCCAGAACTGAGCCTCTACTTCACTCAATCCTCTTTGGTCTAGTCCGCGCACAGCACACTCCATTTTCTTCTAATCGGCTTGAGATAAATGGCAAAAGCACCGGTCATTGCCGGCAAACACTCTTTTATTTTCTGAGAGATAGTCCAAAATCATTATATCATTTGAAAATATAAAAATCCATTGGAGATATAACAACGAGTAAAAATGGAGACCGAGGAGAGCGATCGAGACATTCTCGGCCAAATTCTCAGCGAAACAGAACTCACACAAATTCCGGAAGACATTGCAACAAAATTGCGATCACATTTCAACGAAAATTTTGAAGGATTCATCACTGCTAAAGCCGTTTTCCAACATGGCAAGCAAAATTACGGTATGTATGATGTCATGAGCAACAATTGATCACTCACTTTCGAGAATGGAACTTTCTAACCAAAAGGCGTCTTTTGGTATTTCCTCATGCGTTTGATTTTCGTAGATTCATGAATCAGATAAATAGTTTCACCCAATTCTACGACAAAAAATTAAAATTGAATGATTGTTATAGAGAAAAAAATTGAGAAGCTGGAAAAAGACTGCCAAGAGCAGCAGCTGGACTTTGACGAGTGCAAAGGAAAGCTGGAGATGGCAGAGACTCATGTCACCGATCTCCAGGTGAAGCTCGACGAGGCAAAAACGGAAATCTATAAGCTCCAGGAGTCATTGAAACGTCTGCAAAAGGAGACCTCAGAATTCAGACGTCAACGAGACGCAGCAGTTGATGAACGTGACACCCTCCAGTTGCAGGCAGAGCGCAGAGATCATGAGGTGGAGCGTCTGCACACTGAGCTGAATTCCCTGTCTGCCCAGCTGCAGTCAGCAGTGGCAGCTAAATGTCAGGCTCTGGCTGAATCCGAGGAGATCAAGAGTCGAGAGCTCAACCTGGATTACAAAGAGAAACGCCTGGAGCAGGAGAGGAATCTCATGTGCCAGCAGATGAGCTCCCTGGAGGTCGAACTGTCGAAGAAGACGTCAGAACTCCAGACAACAAGGTCAGAGGCATCAGCAAGGAGTCTTCTCACAGAGACTCGTCTATCTCAACTGGAAGAGGAGCTCAGAATTTCCAATGACAGTTTGACCCAACTCCGAGAAGTCAACACTAATTTCCAGAAGAGGTGCGACGAATTGACCCAGAAATTGGAGGAGCAAAGGAACCACGAGTTGGCAATGCACTCGTCATACAGGGAGGAAATTGGCGCCCAGACTAGACTCGCTGATTTGTACAAGGGGATGTCTGAAGAGGCCAATGCCAAAGCTGAAGAGTACACAAATGCTGTTAAAGAGCTTCAGTCGATTGTTGAGCAGGCAACTGATCAGTATGGAACCTTGGAGACGGCTTTTGCTCAATTTAAATTGGAGCACGAGGAAATTCTGGCCGAGAAGGAGAGGCGAATTGAAGAACTGTCTGCAGAGCTGGAGAAGGCTAATGAATTGCTGGGAAACCTGAAGCAGGAGAGATTGGACCAGGCAGTGGAGCAATTAGCTCCAACAGCGGCGATCACAAGTAGAATTCTCAAGAAAGGACTGAGTTTAACTCAGATCTACACAAAACTCGTAGACACTGTGAACGAGCTGACTGTTGAGAAGGAAGAGAATGACAAGCTGAAAGCCCAGATGGACGTGATCCTTAAAGAACTTGAGGATAAAGCCCCAGCCGTCCAGCGCCAGAGAGTTGAGTACGAGGCAGCAGTTGCCAACGTAGAAACCCTCTCGAATCAGCTGGACGAACTTCTGACTGAGAATAATCGTCTCCAGGAGACTGCTGATGAAGCTGCACGACTCTCCAGTCATCAGACTCGTGAGAACCAACGTCTGAAGACAGAACTCTCTGATTTAGCTCGACAGGTCTGCTTCCTCCTGAAAGAAGTCCAGGAGAGCCGAACTGGAACTAGACTTCCCACTGGTGATGAAACCGCCATGGAGACAGACTTGGCGTCGTCCCAGCTGATCAGTAAGAGACTAGTGACATTCCGAGACATCGAGGAGCTTCAGGAGAACAACCAGAAACTTCTGTCAATCGTGAGAACATTGTCCACGAGACAAGAAGAGATAGAACGCTCTAATGATGATTTACAATCTGGGGAATTGAATGAGAAATTAGCTCGATATCTCGAGCAGTTGTCAGAGATGCAGGCAGCCCAGGAGAGACAAAGCAAGATGCTGGATGGATTGATGAGACAACGAGACATGTACAAGAGCATGTATCAGCAGGCCTTAAATCAGACTCCTGGGCAGGGTGTAAAGGATTCCCAAGAGAGTCTTCAACAGGATTCAAGTTCTGAGGATAAATCCACCTCTGAAGACCCTGAGAAATCTCTGCAGGCTCAAGTAGACACGATCAAAGAGCTCGAGAGAAAGCTCTCTGATGCTGAAATCAAGTTGAAAGCTATTAGCGACGAGTACTCGACTTATAAAAAAGAAAAGGCTGCTCACGAGAAGATGCTTGGGGAGGAGGTGGAAAGACTGAGAAAAGAGGCAGATACAAATTCCACTCGCTGCTGTCGTCTGAAGGTTCAGCTGGATTCGTCACAAGAGCGGTTCAATCTTCTCCAGTCTAATGTAGCTACGTACAGGTCGCAAATAAAAGCACTTGAAGAGACGCGTGCTAATTACAGCACAACAATTGGAAAGCACGAGCAGAGCATAATGCTGCTGAAGGACGAAGCCCTCACTGCCCAGTCTAAATTGTCTCGTGCTGAGGTTCAGCTGGAAAATCTCAGGCAGGAGAGACAGCATCTCCGGGACAATGAGGGACGTTTGCTGAAGGAACGAGAGATGCTGCATAGAGAGAGACAGACACAGGCCCTTCTCAAGGCTGATGTAGAGTCTATCAAGGCTAGTTTGGAGAGGGCGCAGGCTGAGGGTCAACTGAGAGCTGAAATGCGATTGGATGACGCCAATAGGGAGTGCGCTGCATTGCGGAGACGTTTGCAGGAGGAGCAAGACAGGTTTAGAGAGCTGTCGTCTCATCTGGAGAGACAGTTGTCGACAGCCCAGGAGAGGCTGGCTGAGGAGCAGACTCTTGGGGAGCGATTAAAGTCAGAGCTGGATGAGGTGAAGACAGCCCAGGGGATTGTGGAACGGAAGGCTGAGGAATTGGAGGCTAAACTCAGGGAGACACAAGCTCAATCGCGAGCCAAACCCATCACTGGGGATGAGAATCTTGCTAAACGGTTGCATGAATTGGAGTTGCAGCTGGCTGGAGCGAATGCTGAAATCAGGTCGTTGGTGGAGCAGCTGAAAACAGCGAGACAGCAGAATCAGCAGTACAGTGATATTGCTGATAGCACGGAGACACAATTGAAGGAGATGGCTGATCAGCATCAGAAGAGGGTGAGAGAGCTGGAGACAGCACTGGAAGCTGCGAGAAATGATGCTGCAACTCTTGATAAACGGGTGAAACACCTCGAGAGTGAGTTAATGCAATCGCAGAGTGGACAGCAGGTGAGTGATTCGGAGTTGAGGGAGAGGCTGTCGTCTGCTGAGACTAAACTGGAGGAGTTGGATGAAGTTAAGGGTGAGCTTGAGCTTATGAAGAGTGATCTTCAGGCTGCGTCACAGGCAGCGCATGAGGCTGAGGAGAAGTACGCCAGGGAGATGGTGCTTCATTCCAATGATCTCCAGGCATTAGCTAAATTGCGTAGTGAGACTGAGAATATATCCAAGACTGTCAGTCAGTTGACTCAGGCCAGAGATACTGCTGTGGCTGCCCTTGAGGCAGGGAGGTCAACCAGTCAAGCACGAGAGGGAGAACTCAAGAAAGATATCGAGGAGTTGGAGAGGAGGATCGATGATCTCGATAAACAGAATGGACTCCTTCATAATCAGATTCAGGAGTTGAGTGATAGAACTGCTATTATGCAGAGCAGTAGATCATCCATTGGGGAGCAGGAGGCCATGGATACCAGTATTGAGAACATGAACAAGAGTTTTACTGGAACGGAAGAGGACTCAAAATCCACTGAACAATTACTGAAGATCATTAAATATCTGAGGAGAGAGAAGGATCTAGCTGTTACCAAACTCGATGTTCTTCGTGCTGAGAGCATGAGACTCAAGTCACAGGTGGAGAATCTTGAGAAGAGAGTGAAGGACGCTGAGGAGGCCATGAATTCCCAGAGGGAAAAATCAGATATCGATGTTGCAACGACCTCCAGGCATGCTGAACTCTTGAGAAAAGTGGAGACTCTCAATGCCATTGCTGATTCCAATAGAATTCTCAGAGAGGAACGAGATACTCTGCTAACTAAAGTCACAGACTTGTCTTCCCAGATATCAACGCTGTCTGAGGAGGTGGTGCCCCTCAGGGAACAGGCGAGAGACCTCACAGCAAAGACAGAGCTACTCACAGCAGAAAATACTGGCTTGAGGAGCGAAGCCATGAGGTGGAGGCAACGCGCCAATGCTCTGGTGGAACGAGCCAATAAAGCTAGTCCTGAGGACTGGAGGAGACTCCAGACAGAGCGTGAGAATCTCAGTAAATTGTTAACCTCGGAGCGTGAAATTCATGCCAAGAAAATGGAGGAGCTGAACGCCCTGAAGGCGGAAAAGGCAAGACTCGAGGAGCAGAACCTCCAGCTGCAGAAACAAATTCAAACCCATGGGGAGGAGGCAACCAAAGCCTCGGAGGAAGCTCGTAAACTTGGACAAGATCTTAATGAAGCCCTTGCCGACTCAACCTCAAAGTCCAATGATCTGGCTTCGTTGAAGAAAGAACTGGATGACAAGGAAGCTGCGCTCAATGATGTCAAGAACAAAGAAATTCAGATTAGAAGAATTGCCAAGAAATATAAGACACAGTATGAGGAACTGGCCAATCGTCGCGTCGAAGAGGTGCCCGCCGAACCCAATCCTGAGGACGTTCAGGCCACTCAAGAGAAGGAGGAAGTGTTGAGAGAGGAAGGACGCAGGGAGATTCGTCAAAAAATTGTGGACCTAGAGGGGCAGATTGAAGAGTTGAATGCAACGATTAATTCACTTCGTGAGGAAGGTGATGGACTCAGGAGGGAGATTGATAATTTAAATAGAACGAGTTCTGAGAAGGAGGAGAGGACAACGAGGCTGCTGAAAACAGCCAAAACACGAATTATGCAATTGACCGAGTCCAAAGCCAGATGCGAGAGGGAACTCATCGAATCGAAGGAGAAGATCGAATCAATGTCGAATGATAATGATCAGAGTGAGCACGACGCAAGGCTGACTGTCATAAAATCTCAATTGGAGGCGAGGATCGCTAGATTGGAGCATGAGAAGGCTGAGATAATAGCTGAGAAAGAGGCTTTACTCCAGAGAATTGCCCAGATGCAGCGACAGCTGTCAGCTGGTGTCAGTGGAGTTTCAGTGATGACTGAACCACCGACAGCTAATATCAAGCCAATGGCTTCAGCTAGAGCTGAGACTCCTCTTGCAAGCATCAGACCCCTCAATGTTCAGAGCAGAACAGCTGCTGTTATGCCGACAACTGCTAATAATCCGGTGCTCGTGGCACCTCAGCAGCAGCAACAGGTGGTTCACACTACTGAGACGAGTTCACCGACTAGCAGTCATACGGATTATCAGCCAAGTACGAGTACGTCGGTGTCACAGGCTGGGCAGTCGAATTTGAGACAACTTGCTGTCCAACCGCAGTTGAGTGAATCTGCTGAGTCGACACAGAGAGAGGAGTCTGAGAATTCTGATAATGGACAGCAGGTGCAGCAACAGGGACAGCAGCAGAGCTGCCAGAATCAGCAGGTACAGCAGCAGGGACAGAGTCAGCAGGTGCAGGGACAGGATCCACAGCAGCCACCGCAGACTGTAGCACTTGTCAGTCCCCGGGTAGAGCAGCAGAGCATGCAGCAGACTCAGCAGACGACTGGAGGTGATCAGCAGCAGACTATTCCCAGCAGTTCGACACAGTCTGTTAGCACTTCTCAGGTTTCTGGGGGCCATAAAAGACCGAGAACTCTGGAGCCCACTGCCTCGGGGTCTGGTGTTGTCGAGGGTACTGATTTGAGGACTGACCAACCGAGTCCAAAGGCCAAGAGAATTCGCACGCAAGAAATGCCCAGTACAGCGACAACCAGTGGATCTGAGGTTGAGTATCAAGTTCCGACATCCAGCCAACGAGACCAAGACGAGGAACCTGAAGATGGGTGTGTCGTTGTGGATTGTGACGAGGGTGGTGGTCACAATCAGGCACCCGAGGAAGAGGAATTTGACAATGATCCCTATGGAGAAATGGAGGAGGACGAGGAGGAGGAGGAGGAGGAAGAGGAAGAGCTTCCATATGGCGTCGAGGAGGAGGTAGAGGGTGACAATAACGAGGTAGAAATAATGGAGGATGACTCGAGAAATGTCGAAGTGCCAAGACAAGTACAACAGGCTATTCCTACCAGTCAACCCCAGCAACAGCAGTCCGAGGCTATCAGCAGCGCTGGACCCACTGGGGAGCCTCCAGCATTTTCAAGGTCTTCCAGGGGAATAGCCCCAATGCCACGCCAGCAGCAACACTTTCTGCTTCCTCAACAGGGATATGAAGATGGCGGAGATGACAGTATTGTCCCCAGCACTCCAACACTATTCGTTCCACGAAGGGGTGATGGTTTTGGTGAGGCTGTCAGCTCTCCCCAGGTACCACAGGGTCGATTTACCTTCGGTGATTCAACACCGTCGTCCACCCCCTCACTAACTCCCACTTGTACTACAGTGAGAACAATGTTCGCTGTTTCTGGGTCTGGAGTTGCTCAGGTTGTTCAAGAGGGTATGGACGATACCAGAATGGATTTGACACAGTTGGAAGACGGTGGCACTGGTCGAAGTGTTCCAACGACTCCCCTCCAGGTATCACCAGCAGCTGATTTACCCCCGTCGACCTCTGGGGGACAGGAGGAGCAGGAGGTAGCAATTGCTGGCTCGTCAGCGACTCCTGGATCAGTTGATATGAGTGTCGAGGGAACATCGGCACCTAGTATTCGTGTCACTGATGAACAAGAGAGTGAGCAGATGGAGGCAGTTCCAGGATCGAGTACAGCACCTGGTGCTGATGGTGTTAGTTCGGAAAGTGATCAACCGACAACTGATCCATCGGGATGTGGCACGGAGGGGTCTGTTGATGAGGACTCTGTCGAGGCTGGAGGCGATGAAGGTGATGCCGAGGAGGAGGGACGAGAGGCTGAAGCCTCACCTTCCAGCAATGTCAGGCAGAGGAATACTGTGAGTGCTGGTGTCAATGCAGCTAATATTATCTCGGGGGAGGAAAATCGTGGAGCTGTTACCAGGAGATCGGCCAGGGCGGCAGCACAGCAGTACAGGGGAAATCCGAGGGGTGCCAGGACTCCGATCACTTGGGGGAATCAGGGCACCACTGGACAATCACCCGTGAGAGGACATCCTGCTAGAGGCACTGCCATTGATGGGGTCAGGGGTAGAGGCTCCAGGGGGAGGAGAGCCAGGTCCAAGTACTCATTCCCCAGGTACTAGGATTTTAAAAAACTTTTTTTTTGGTTATCGTGGGGTGGGAGTTTTTATCGGGAATTACTTTTCCTTCGTACAGAGAATTATTTTAAAGTCGCAGTTGGTGGTTTTCATTTTTCACCTGGAGAAATAGCGATTGGAATGGAATTATTATTGGTTGCTGTGTTCTTCCGATTCTCTCAAGACTTTTGCAATTTTTCACTCACTATAATAGAATGCTTGGGAAACCATCGGTCTTGGGAATAAATGTGATTTTCTGTATGAAAAAAGGTTTACCGTGAAATTTTTCGAAAGAAAAAAAAATTGTGAGGGTTTGTTACATTGAGACATCGACGTGAGTCCATTTTACCCCAAGAGTCTGTCCTCATTTACCTTTTTACGAATAGTTATAAGTTTTTTGACGTTTGACAAAGTCTCTTCGACTTTTTTTGAATCATCTGTCATTCCAATTCATATTTTTCATTTAAATCACCTATTCTTTCTTTTACGCTAGAAGGGATATTTATCTCAGGTAGTAAAATACTGCGCATTTATAATTACGACTCCTTGCGAGATTTCCAATGTAGCGAGAAGGAATGATATTCATGAAGATTTATGAGTAAATTAGAATGTCGATTATTGGATCGATTATTGGATTAAATTAATAAACCAGGTGTATATAAAGAGATGACTGTTTGTGATTCTTTTATTCTTCGCCCTTTTTCCTAAATCATTCGTCACGGGATACCAGAAAAATTGTTTAACATTTTCTTTTTTCCTCAAGACTGATTGTACTGAGATTTTCCTCTTCATTAATTCCTCATCAATCATTACCTCAGTCTGATCGAGGAAAAGTCCGCACTAAACTCGAAACTCAACCCGAAGACATTAAAAAATGATATTATCAAACTTTTAAAAATATAAAATATATTTGGCAAATAAAAAATCATGAAGTCCTCAATAATTTATATTCTCCATAAATATATATCAACAATAAATACTTGCAATGGTATAATAAATAAGATGAACAATGACAATATAAATTTCCATGACAAACTCCCCTGATCTTATAAATAGAATTCACTCTGAATTTATGAAATGCATTTTGCTGGCCAAAAACATGCGACAAAATGAAAAAAAAAACTTCAAGTAGACGCAGTGTACAGAGTCAACGCTAAATACCCAATTGTTATAACAAAAGTACTGTTAAAAATAAGGGATTCATTTACAATAATTTGAGAGTAATGGAAGACCGAAAGAAATGTCCGATAGAAGCCAGGAGTGGTTCTATCAAAAGATTGAATATAAAAAAGACGATGAAATCTTTAAATTCTGTTTTAACTCGCCATAAAGCGCTAGACGCCGACAATTCCCCGATGGCAAAGTGCCAAAAATATTATTCTATCTCTGATTTCGCACGTTTAATTCTGTTAACACGGAATATTCTCAGACACCCGAAAGCCATTATCATTCTTGACACCCCCGATGCATTGACAACACCCTCCCAACATATTTGGAATTTATTTTCACATAATACCGGATATACCCGAATGTTAAAGTGTTAAATACAAATTTATCATATCAAAGAATTAATAAACAAATTTTTTCACAGCCGACAGTGGATCCAGCGATGGAGTAAACCGACGAAATCCAGTGATTGAATGAAAATTCAACACAATTCACTTTATTCAGTACTAGAATCGTCGTAAGAAGAAATATTTGGTTTTCTCACATTGAGTTGTTCTCGATAAGTTTTATTATTAGCTGTACCGCACTCGCAGGATGTGTGATTCTCGATGGTGAGCTTGACCAATTGACTGGTTCCATTGGCCTCCAATCTGTAGATCTCTATTTCTTTCTCACTCTTGGTTTTAGCGAGACAAGTGAGTGAAGGAGAGTCACAGCATCCAGCGTGTCCATCACACCTTTTCACCACGAGATAAGACGGTGTTATAATCGGGACTGAAGAATTTGTTATGTATTTATGATCTTTGAGAAGATCTATTATGTGATAAGTCCTGGGTTGGGGTCCATTGCAGTAGAATTCTTGGCATGTCTTCACCGCCTCCAGTCGCCGGACTTTATCGTAAATACTTATTTTGTGTTTTTTGGTTACTGCTACTGTCCCTGAGAATACCCCCACGGTATTGATCACAATCATCACAACAATTAAGACAACTCCTACACTCGGCACATGTGGATATCTCTTCATCGCCATTTTGGTACTCTGATACTCTTCTTTGATTGTGATGCTCACTGGATTTGTTTGTTTTGTCAATTGATTTATTTATCCAATAGGAATTGTAGGTGAGATCTATCCGCTATTCAGGTTCAGATCGAGACTGAGAATTTTCTGAAGGCAGACGAGTATTTATACGACTTGATATTCGCTTCCCCCGCACGTCGGCTTATCTTGGTTCGAGCCGGTGTGTAGCTCACGCTTTGTCATCTGGACGTGAGAGAAACCCAAGGGTTTGCGAATTTTCCTGTCGGCTCTTCTTTTTTTTTATTTCTTTTTTTTTGTGTGACGACAGTCTGTTGGTGCCACTTGGGGAATTGGAATCGATCGTCATTGCGGTTTTGCAGGTTCAGGGGAATTCTTCTTGCTGGTGGCTGCCGGCGTCTTCACTGACTCTCCAAGCAATCTCGAAAGTGAATCAGAGAGAATTTCCTAGAAAAAATATTCAGTAAAAAAATCGTGGAATCCTATTTTTCGAAGTTGAAAAGGCGGTGAAAAGTTACTCCATAAATTCAGTGCCAAGAGGAAACGAAAATTCTTGTGAAATAGCTGAGAAAAAAGATTCACTCTCCAGTAACCATATAACCCGGACTGAAAGCGATTTGAAGAAGACAAATTGTTTAAATAATTGTTTAAAAATACGAGGTGGAGCGTCACCATGTTTGACGCCCCTTGCGGCCGAGGGTGAGTGCAAACATGGCGGTGGTAACACACGTGTGAACCACCTCGTATATTTAAACAATTATTTAAATAATTTATCTTCTTCAAATCTCGCTCAATTTTTGTGAGCCTTCTCTAGAAGAATGAACAATTTTATAAACCAAGCGCTCAGAAATTTCGGTCCCTTTCTCCTTGAGATTCAGAAGTGGAAATTCTCTCTCGCATTTCAAGTCTTTCTTAATTTCTTCATAATTACAATTTAAACACCATTTACCCGTAATTCGAATGTGTCATAGGATATAATTGGGGGAATTACGCTGTGGTTTTATCAACGCAAGTTCATGGTGAGCAAGCATCTAGGAAAAATCAGATCCCCTAGAGATCAGAATGACGCAAATTAGCACTTGTGGACTTCCTTAGGATCACATGTCTAGAATTTGCGCCCTACGAGGTGCATCCGACAATGAGACAATAACCGAAATTATCGTATCAAGCGTGATAACTGGTTGATGAGTAAGTCCTTCGTTAGAATTCAGCGTCCTCTAAGAATATTCGATCTGCGCAAATTTTTCAAATCATCCACTGAGACAAAACGAAATATTCAAGTGGCAAAACTAATACAGGTCTCCTGTTCAATTTTAATAATGACTCACTGATGATTCAATGAGGAAAATAGTAGCCTGCAATTACGAAAAATTAGATGAGAAAGTGTCGCACGTGAGGTAACGATCAATCTCAATCAAAATGATTCCTTCCTCGTTGATTTACTCATGACAATTCCACTTGACACCTCAAAACTACGTCAATTGCATTATTGCTATTATCTGATTGAGTCTATCCAAATGCTAATGTCGATTTTATTTTTAGATTCCCCCGATCGGAAGTACGTGGAGGAATAAGGAAAATTATTAACGAATACATCAATGCAATGCGTGTGAATTGATTAGGAAAAATTGTTGCAATCCTCGGAAATTGTTGCGAATTTCCCAGAGAGTCGCGAATAATTGCACGAGTTATTATTCAATTTAATTAATTAATTAATTCGTTTACTCTGATCTTGGCAGGTAATTACGACTATTCATGGATTCGCATTGATTTTTTAACAGAAAGCAATAATTTGGTAATTTAATTTACTGAAAATAATTAGTAGAAAATTGATGGCTGGCGCCGGAAATCCTGAGAAGGGAAAATATTTATAAATTATTGTCGTGGTATATGAAATCTTCAAGGAATGAATATCAATCAGATGTCACTTGATCGATCCTCGAATGAATAGTCTGCATTTATTCTCATTAGTATTGATTATTCTCGTGTAATCACTTGAGTGGCGCTTGAGAGAACATGTACAGATTACGTAAATAAAAAAAAAACTAGATGGAAAAACCAAATCCGCATGAATGAAGAAAATGCGGACTGCACCGACTGAAATCGCACAGTTGCCACATCAGGTTTTTTCGTCGGTAATTTTTCGGTCATTTCCAGTAACTTTTCCTGAATTACACATTTTCCTGAATTATAATTCGCTGAATTATGAATTATAAATTGCGGTGGAAGACCTTTGAATTTATTATGATGAGAAAAATTTCGTGAGGGAAATTAATCGGCGAGAGCATTAGTACGATTTTTTCTTTTGGTGAAATCCGGGGAATGAATGAAAAATTCACTGACGAGATTATCTTTCAGAACTGGAAATTATGAGATATTATAGTGGAGCCATCCATTAGTTCTCTTTTCCGTCTTGTATCCATCACTCGGAATTTTTTGCGAATGAGAAAGACCCGCATGAATCGGATAACCGAACGCCCACACGTTTATCTCATTCACAGATAGCAAATGTGATGAATGATTGATGGGAAGGGATTAGACTAGCGTAAAAGAGTGAGTGTAATAATAAATGATCTTTCTTCTTCCTGAGGACAAACGATTGTTGCGAGACATCAGGAAAATCCTGACCCGAGGGAATCCTGAAAATAACTTTTACTCTTTTCCTTCACTTTTTTATCGGATTCAATCCAAAAGAATCTGTCCGAGTTTATCAGTTAAATTTCAAATGGCTATTCTGCGAAATTTAAAAAGAAAGACATGAGAGAATTCTCTTGTGTAATTTTCACGTGGGCGTTTTATTATTGTAAATGATGGGAGACTAGCTTTCGACCGAGAAATTCGTCAGTAATTCGATGATTCAGTCATGGGAATTTCCGAGACTCCAGTGAAAGGATTTTTTTCTCATTCCTAAATTACTGTCATCGGAATATTCTCTATGCATATTAAATTGACCTTTTCTCGTTGATAAACGCCTGTTTAATTCGAATCTACAATTTATTCCAATGGAATCGGCAATTGAGTCGGAAAAATTGCAAATGGAGATTTCTATTTCTTTCTAATTTTCCAAGGTTTTTACAAATTTCTGAGAGACGCGTGATTTTCGTGTTTAATTATGAGAAATCAGAACATATCGGTAATAATTCTTTGGATAATCTATTCGCGCAATTACTATTTAGTCTCACGTGCATCACCTACATCCGGATAACTCTCCACACCATCATCTTCGGATAATGCACCTCGAAAATGTCATTTCCTTGGCATACGTGAGATGCATCTGGAACCACCAGTTGACTCTTACCCTCTCAATCGCTTTTAAAAATACTCAGAGCTTCTCCGAGTGCATGCATCTCCAACTTGAAATTCGTATTGAATTTTTTTCCTGAAAAATTTACGTCAACGGAGAAATTCATGCAAATATGATTTCCTCTGAGAATATAAATAGGTGCATTAATGCCTTCAGCTCAGAAATATCTGTGCAAAGGCATCGAGTCGACGTAATCATAAATTTTGCAGTGATTATTAAAAAATAAAATGAAAGTAATCAATAAAAAATCGTTTCATTTTTATTTTTCAATATTTTCACTTTCAAATGGAAGCATTATGATTAAAATTCATCCAATCACCAATATCGGTCCAATGTCGGCGCAGTGTTGGTACAATGTTGATATCAGTGTTGGCTCGATGTTGGCGCAGTGTTGGCGCGAGGTTTGCCCGAAATACTGACGTAGGACTGACAATTTCAGTGACATTGACTGACTCATGAGAACCACGTCCTAACGCAACATTATGCAATGCATTCATGAGGGGGAGATCCCGTTGCGTTTGACGTCATGAGAATATCTCCAGGATGAAGGTCACAGCTGGCGATGCTTCCAAGAACCCAGAGAATAGTCAAAATTTCTTCAGGTAAAGAATCATTTTTTTTACCTTGCGCAACCTGGGGTGAAGATGAACTCGACGTAGATGACGTAATTGACGAATCCACTGCTCCAGGCGAAATATATCTGGTCTAGACCAAGTGTAATATATTTTTAACATTACCTTCTCTCGGTTGATTAAAAAAAAAACATCACTCTGATTCTCGAGAAATAATCATTCCTCTTTTAACGGTTTACTATAAAAAAATATCTGCAGCAATCAATTTTAAGAGTTAATTTTCAGTCTTGCAAGAGAAAAAAAAAATTTGCCGTAACGGTAAAAGCACTTGGGATAAAACAACGAGAGCAATAGTAATTCCTCTTCGGTATTTCCAAGAAGCATTTCCAGGATTCTCCATTTGGTCCAGGAAGTACGTAATAAAAATGTGAGAGGACAATTCAGGGACGTTGGTGAAGCAGGAGAGATGGAGTAAACATGCAGAGGATGGAAAAGAGATGTTAAATATTGAGAGAAATCGGAGAGGGTGTTTGGAGCAATAGAGATGGAAGAAATGAGGAGAGAAGTCCTTTTGCCAGTGGGTAAAGTGAATAGGAGAGTAAGAATGGAGTCTTTGTGGAATATTGAATGGCATGGATATAAAGGGTATCTTGCTGTGAAAGGTGTATCTATTGAGTTGAAACGTATGCGGTCAGCATTCCTGGTAAAAAGAAGCTGAGGAAACACGTGCAGATGAATCTTCCAGCGAGCTCAGTCTTCAAACGAATACTGAACCGACAACATCATCTCTTCTCTTCAATATTTCAATATTATACCTCAGTGGTCTAGCTAGTGGTCTAGCTCCAGGTCTAAATCCCAGTGGTCAACTCAGCCAATTGAAAATTTTTCTAAACTCGAGTTCGTGGTTGTCATATCATGGCTAATACATATTATTTCGCACTTTTGGTCATCCTGGTCTCCGGTTCTTATGGAATCTTTCATCACAGGTAAGAATTTTTTTTTAGCAGCTAGGGTGATATGGAGGTTAGATTTATATTTTGGATTTTTATGATTTATCTTCAGGGAATAATCGCATTCTGAGAATTGAGTGGTAATTATCGGGTTGATATTATTAATGATCGTAATTAGAGGTGTGGGATATGTTCGTGACACGAAACTTCAGGGAAAATACCGTCGCCATTACGTAATATCGGAATAATATCCATAAAAACTGATGTAAAAAAAAAATAAAAACATCGAGTCCGAAGTTTCGATTGTTAATAACACAGCAATAATCATGCGATAATTGTAAAAAGATTCTTCCGGGATTGTTTTGAAAATTGATTTCTTTTAGTAATTTTCACTGATTTATTTTTTCTTCTGTGATTTTCAATGTTTTTGGAAAATAGAGACAGCAAATATTTGAATCACGTCCACTTGGTGTACCAGTTCAAGTGCTCATTACCTCAGCTACGGGCAGTTCCGGTTGAGGAATTGTTATCGGTTGGACCGGGTCCTGATGAGATTTTCTACCCGAGGGAGACGATCCTGGCGAGGTGTGCTGGTGCTGGCTGTTGTCTCGGGATTAATCAGGTGTGTGGGCCAATTGAAACGAGAAATGTCAGTCTTGTATTCCTGGTGAAACACCGAGTGGATCGCCAGAGAGATCGACATCACGAGACTCTTCATGTTGTGGAACACACCAAATGTGGATGCATTGATCGTGATAAACTGGATGAATCATTCAATGAAATTTAAATAAATCATCAAACCCCGAAGATTTCGTCTGTGATACTCGACAAAAAAAAACGACAAAATAATTTAAGCCATCGCTTCTCAAAAAGATAAAAAACAATTCCTCAATATTTTTTTCAATCATTAGTAGAATTATTATTTTATTTCAGTATTTGTTTAGAGGAAATGAAAATCGAAGGATTAGTGCGAAAGATTGAAATAATTTTTGATTATCGAGTATTTTATCTCGAGAGGGAGAAATCACTGGTTGCTATTGTGGAGATGGAAATAATGTTTAGCTTCCTCCAAGTCCCTCCTTATGGTATCATTTTCAGGGGCCAATTTGAGGGCCTCTTCGAATTCTGGAATTCCGTGTTGTGGAGCCGACAATTTACAAAGGGCCGCACCAAGTCGAGCGTGACAACGTGCACGAGAATCGCGGTTTCCCTCGCACTTTGGGACCATCAGCTCCAGCGCCTGTTAAATATTTTTTTTTTTTTTGTTTGTCCTGTATTTTTATTTCAACGCGAAACGTGGGAATTTTTTAGTCGCATACCTTGGAGCTGTCCTCGGCGCATCGATTATAATTTCCCAGGGCGTATTGTGCTGCTGCTCTGTTTGCGTACAGCGATGACATGTTTGGGCTCAATTTTACTCCATGGGTGTACGCACTTATTGCTCCGAGGTAATTGCCGACATTGAGGAATTCGCTGTAACGATAACGAAACGAATTGAATCACTTCTTCAGGAGTTTCTCCGAAAATAAACGAGATAGCGAAATTTTCGATAAGACCTTTCTGCCAGAGCTAATCGAGACCTACAAAAAAGTTTATTATAACAATTTGGATATTTCCATTATTTCCGCAGATATTCGCTGAAAAAATTGATGAACTCCGCGTTGTCTGCAGTTTTTTTGATTACATAATCTTCTTTTTGATTTCCTCCTGTCCAGGTCATTATATTATATCGTATCATCATTATTAATCATATTAATTATGTATTTTTTAATTATCTCTTACTCTCCCTTGTCTTTGAGCCACTGGGGGTCTTGTTCCTCCTGTGACAGATCCTCAGTCGCAAATCCGCATTTCCTCCTGGCCTCCGCCTGTTTCACCAGCCACTGGAGCATCAAAAAAATTATTTTCCCCGATGTAATTATAGAAAAAAACTGAAATACCTCTTGCTCCTGCAATTGGCTGCTCTCCCTGGCAGGAGTTGGAAATATTCTCTCAGAAAAATTGACGTTTATGGTTGCGCATTTCCTCGGTCTCGGGGTGTCATCGAATATTTCATTATGTTCACGATATTTCCCATTGAGAATGTCGTTGATTATTTTTTTTCCTCGTATCATATCTTCCTCGTTATTATTTTCCAATATTTCACGAGTGTTTGCGCGCGGGAGTCCCAATTGCTCTGTCCATTAATTAATTCATGAGGAAATTCAGTCTCTGACGTAAACAGGAATTTTATCGTTATGCATACTTTTGTGAGATAATTGTTTGTTGTTCAGAGCATCAACTGGTGGAGATTTTGACGATGGCTCAGGGTCTGGAGAGTCCTTGAACCATTTAACAGGGGTTCTGCGAAAAATTACTCATCCGCATAGAAAATACACAAAAAATACACAAAAAAATTACAAAAAAATTACAAACATTTTCATTACAATCAATAACTCGAGTTATTCAATTCCTTTAATTCACTACCAGAAATTTATTATTATGTAATGAGAAATTATTGGCTTTGGAATTTTTTTGAATATGAATTGTGCAGAAATATAATAAAATTATTTATATTTTTGGTATAGAGCATTTCTATTTATTCACTTGTATTGTTTTCTATTTTCCTGGAGTACTCCAGTTGCTCCTCCGCAAATAGGCACTTCCGCCTTTTGCCGCCAATCGTCAAATTGCGTCATTGCTTCCCGACGATGATTATCCCGCAACTCCTGGATGTGATTGTGGACTCGGGTGTCCAATTCAATTTGCTCTCTCACCGCTTTTCTCTGGAGGAGTTGACGAGTCTCTATTGTTTAAGGATATCCTTTGAAAATCCAGGGTAAAACTGCAGTAATGAGATTTTTTTTTTACCACTGCGTTTTTCCGCTCTCTTCTCCGCTGACAATCGCGCCTTCTCCAACGCTTGAATGCGAAACACTTTTTTGTCATCTTTAGTTAAATTCTCGAGAGTCAATGTCGGCCATTCTCGACCCTCTTGTAATTTTTTCAATGTTAAAATTGCTAATTCTTCGCTGAGAGTGCAGGAGCTCTTGTCCTCGAGGATTTCATCGTGAAGAAATAGTTCTAGGATGAATGGGGGATAACTCACCTGGATAAAACCATTTTATAAACGAATTTTCATTTCGTAAATTAATCAAATGCATAATTAAATCACGAGGGATTTTATAAGACTTGAGTATCACGGTGAATTAATTTTTTTTTTCTTCCGCGGCGTGAGTAACAGCTGTGAAAAACAGAATTATTATTTTATAAATGTTCCGTGTAATTAAATCAAGGCCAGTTGATGAATGGTTTATGAGAAAATTATTCCAAGTGAATGTAGAATTTTTCACATGTATTATATGAGGAAAAATATTCCTGCGGATTGAATTTATTTGAAAAATTTATTATCAGTTTTCTTAATTAATGAGCGATTATTTTTTGGCGAAATACAGTTGACACGTACTTTTAAATAATTTTCGATGGCGAATATATCCACTTTCTTCGGCTTTCCTGTCAGAGAGACAAAGATAATAATCTCCTCGGGAGTTTGTCGCCAAGTAAAATCCTTAACCAGGATTGCCGGCATTTTTAATTAGCTGTTGAATTATTAATGCAACTTGTCTGCAAGTTTTTAATGATTACGACTAAGACGAGATGCGGTGAAAGCTTTCAAGACTGCTGGAGGTTACTATCGACCAAACAACCAAAATTCTGGTGAAAAATCAATAAAAATACTATTTGTTTCAATGTATGAAGTTTACTTTTAATTGAAATGTTTCGAGAGTATTTCATGATGACAATTATTAGTTTCATTACGGAATAACAAACGTGTGAAGCTGCCAGTTTATTGGAACATTATTATCTCACAGGATTTATATGTTTCGTACTCCTCTTCATTACCAGAAAAAATTGTCTATATTTTTTTTTGTCGTTATTCTTTATTACAAAAATGTGACTCGAAGACATCGATTCTTACGGTAAAATTGTGCCTGAATTCCATGAATTATTTTCAATCAATCTGATGAAAAAAACATTACTCTAGTGCTGCCTATGACGCACGGGTCCTTCCAACGAATCAAAATCAATTCGTCGTGAATTACACGATTACAAAAGAAATATTTCCTCATAAAAAACAGTTTCGCGTTATTTTTTCACACAATTACACTCAAAACGGACGAATCATAAAGGACAATTCGGGCGTTGAAAATGTTTAAAAAATCGTCGAGGTCAGTCCAGAATATTTATGGAACATTGTCTTTGATTATCGTAATTTTTGTTTCGTAGATTTTTTTTTGTATAAAATGGAGGACATGTTTGATCAACTCTTGTGTCATCACCTAAAACATTTACGTTACTAAAAAAAAAAAACTATTATGACACCATGGATTTATCGCACTCTCGAGACTTCAGTGTTCGACAATTAATGGATTACAATTTCCAGTATGACCTTTAAACGTCAATGTGTCGTTAAATATATATTCAAATATATATTTATATATATTTCAGTATGTATATATGTACACTGTATCATTCGATCGACGAAGGTTTCGATTACTCAGGAAAAAATTCGGCTTTCAGTTTTCCCAATAAAATTAAAAGCTTTACTGCTAATTTAATGGTCAAATGATCGAAGATTCCCTCGAAGAAAATAATAAAACGCTAAAATTGTGGTGCTACTATAAATACAATTACAGGAGAAATAATATTTACTGTCGATTTCATTCGCAATGTCAGTGTCAATTCGATGCAGAGTTTTTTTTTATTTGATAAAGCAAGAAAATTAATTTTCAATAGCAAAGACGTTTTTTGGGTCTCGATATTCATTTCGGAATGTCTTGAGACACGATATGAGGGCAATATTATCAGTAAAAAGAGGGGAAGCGCGATACAATGGCTTTATCTCTCATCATTACAGTAATTGTCAGGTCTTTGATATGAAGGATTCTTTGAGCAAAATTGTAAATCATAATGCTAAAAGTTGCCTCATCTCAATTTTTTTTTTCTCTTTAATTCTCTCCATCAGTCATTCTCACTCGCTCAGAAAATCCTCTCATTAAAAATCCTACTCTAACGACTATAAAGACACTCTGTGCCTCACGGAAAAAAAAAATCATTTCGTTGATACATTTTTTTTGTCTCATAATTTTTGTTTAAGAATAAACAAGAAATTGAAAATACACTCACATTTTTAATCGAAATTTAATCTCACCTCTACGATCTTAATTAATCATTAATTAATCCTAGTATTAGCCGAGGGGGCGTAATGCAGAGTGGGGTATACTTCGGTTATTTTTCCATCTTTTTCATTTTTTTTTTTCAAAATAAATAAACTTATCCGCTGAATTAGTCGTAAGAAATACTTAACTTTTCATTTTTCATTGAGTCTTTAAATAGTGTACAAACTATTTCAATCTGGCCACCGAGAAAAAAATAATAACGGCAGACCCTCAATAAATGAAGGAATTAGTTTAAAATTAAGATCGTGTGATAATGATGATAACGAGAAATACAAAAATATTAATTATAACAATCACATATCGATCTCATCGAGTCTTGATCGATATTCATTCATTGAACGAAATAATAATTGAAGAAATGCATTTTCTTCGTTCACATTTAATATTTTCTCCATTCGAGGGGTGATCGAGGCTTTTTTTGAAACCAGCTTTTGAGCATTGAACCTCTCGTTATCCCAGTGGTGTATCATTAAGATTTGAGTGGCACTGGGAGAGCTCGTGTGAAGGTACCACTGTGAGTAGCACTGAAAATTTGGATTTTAATGGGTTAATTAAAGTGAATGACGGAGAAAATGTAAAACACAGGAAGTTAACCGTCTTCGACCAGTGAAAGCTCTTGGTTTACGCATCATTTTTACTTCTTTCTAGCTGCTTTCTCAGCTTTTCGTCGCATCCTCTCCATCTCCTTGCGTTCTTTTCTCTCGCGTTCAGCTTGGGTCCGCAGTTCCTTGAGTTTTCGCTTGAGATGAACTTTTTCGTCACCGGATATGCCGAGGGTTTTAAGGTCTCGAGACTCGAGACGCAGTAGACTACTTCCGTTAATCCCGTTATCCATGAAACGGGAGGAGAATCGCTCGAGACCAATTCCAGTCAACCACTGACAGACCTGATGAATGGAAATGAGGGATTAATCGAGGAATTGATAGGCCCTTCGATGGAATCAATTCAAAAATCCTTCAGCGGTTCCCGTTCAAATATTTTTAAATAAAATAATCTGAAATAATCAAGAGCGTTGGCTTACGTCAAACCAATCAATGATTGATCGATGAATACGGTACGCTGGAGCCGCAGAATTTCAAATTGTTGTGAATTATTCTTACGATAATCCCGAGGGGATCAACAAAATCCAAACAGGACTTATTGCATCGTAGATTATTTTCCAAAAGTTTGATTTTCCCACACAGCATCGAGTAAACTCGTTGCCGAACCCATAACAAATTGAAAAAAATCAATCGCCTCTCGAATGCAATGAGAGCTAAATTTTCATTTACTCAATTTCACGGTACCGTCTCCCGGCGAATTTATTTTCCAAAGAACCTGCAATTTGTGGGTGTTATTTCTTTTTTTTTCGCGGTTGGTCTAGTAGACGATGCGTTTCATTCTGAATTTTTCATTCTTTATTATATCCGCGGTATAACCGAAGACTTGATGCTTTCAACAAATGCAAGGGATTTCTTTTTCAAGGGAAAACGTTTTTTTTTCAATGGAAAATATTTCTTTAAATAATGAAAAACATCTTACTTGCTCCTTGGACCAATCGGTGATGCAAGCGGTCTGCCAAAATAATGACTTCTTGTCCAATCCAAACTCTCCAGGATTTGGGGGCATCCACACCTCAGCCGAGTCAACACTTCCAATTTTCGAGGGACAAGGCTCAACAGCAGTGGGACTGATGGATCCCCCAGAAGACAAGCTGGAGGGTGATCCTCCCTGATGATGCCAAGGTGTATTACCAGTTGGCACTGGTGCTGATACCTTCTTCACCCTCTGACTGGCCTCATTAACCGCCTGCCTAATCTCCTCAACAAGATGATGCGTGACTAGTGTTGTATCATTACCATGTGGATTATTCAAATCACTAAAATCCCCAGAGCTCTCCCTAGACGATGACACATCATTACCCCCAAGTCTTCGTTCACGCTCAGCTAAAACTTGTTTGAGTTGTTCAGCGAGTGAAGCCGGTGGTCCACTCAATGTTTTTTGACCAGTTGGCCAACTCTGCTCTGTCATGGCACGTACTTGTGAGCTTATGGTGCTGTGCTGTCTGATTGTCGTTGAGTGTGTTGTATCAAAATACTGTTTACTCTTCTGTGAGCTAATTGACGAGCTGCTTGAGTATGAGCTCAAATTGGAGTGCTTCATTGAGTCATTTGATCTGATGCTGATATCGTGAGAAGCACAAATTTTTGATGAATCCTCAGTATCAGTATTATCACCGGACTCATCAAGACCGTAATCAGAACTACTGTTGCTCAAACCACCCGAACGCTTTGGCAATTGTCGATTGGCTAGACCACCTCTACTTGCCAATTCTGCTTTACTTTTACCAGCTGAATTATCTAGAAGCCGGTGGGCTGGCACTGCCCTGTCTAACTCCTCTTTTATGGGTATTGGTAAGGGAAGTTTTCGCTCTACTGTTGCGGTTTTGTCACCGTCGTCGGGACTACTCAGATCCGAAGTTTCCGTATCGGATAACTGACAACTTGCTGACGATGGAGGCGGTGGTAATTGACGACGAGATAGCTGGGGGGTTACTATGCCTTTGGTTGAACCATCGTATGGTAATCGCACTGGGAGGCCAAAGCGCGTGTGTGTCTCCGTCAGTTCCAACTCCAATTTGATTACCTGAGGGTACATTACGCAAAGTTTTGGATTATTTTGGGGAGTTATATTTCGGTGTGTCGTGGTGATCTTGAGGGGATCATTAGGCTCCAGGGGTAATATTCTCCTGAATTCTGGAGCTCTTCAACTTTGGAATGAGGCTTTCATTACTGGCGAAATCATTAGAGATTTCGCCCGTTTCGAACTAATGAGATTGATTCAATACTCGAGTTGGTTTTACATTTTGTATTGAAAAGAAAATTATTCGTTTATCGAAAAAATTTGAATTTTTATATTTAAAATTTCAATAGATCTGAGAATCGAAATAATCGAGTAATTATTCAAAAAGTTTGGTACATTAATTCGTCCCTCCGTGAATTGAATAATGGAAAGACCCCTGAGATAACTTCAGAGCTATTTGTACCAAAAAGTAGTAAACTATCCAGTTTATTTGAGTAAAGTTAGAATAATTCTGTTGAACTCACTCTATCCTTCAAAGTTTTCACGAGTGCATTGTATTCAGTATCCTTTTCCTGCAACAACTGCTGATAAAATTCATCCCTCGCGGCAATATCCGTTCGCAGTTCCCTGGCAGCCCTTCTGGCACGTGCATATTTTTGTTGCATCGCAGCGGTTTGTGATGTTGCCTGTTGCAGCATTTCCCTGGTTGTTGAAAGTTCCTGTCGAGACTGACCCAGTGCTCTCTCCGACTCGTGCAATCGAAGCCGAGAATCGCGCAATTTCGCTGCATATTCTTCACTACCAGCTCCATTATTCTCAAGCTCCACCAGCTGAAACATTTTTTATTGAATTTTAAACTTAAATTAGGGGCAATTATACGAAAGGAAAGAGGATCAAAGACTAAGAGATGCATCAAATGATCGTACCAGCTACTGTTTTCTCTCTTATTCTACCCACGAATAATTGCCCCATTTATTTTTTTTTTTTTTCAAAATTCCGGACAATACTGCGAATGAATTATTCCTCGATGAATGACATTTAACGAAACAAAAGCCATGGGAATTGAATTTAAAAATTCTATTCCATGCCGAGAGTTGTCCCACACTGATATCTCCAATTTTCGCTTTTACCTCCATCCATATTAATATAAACCGGCAATTTCAACGATAAGAACTTGCCCAGCATAAAAGCCGTTAAAAATATCGAAACTCGTATTAAAAAAGTAACTGGTGCTGTTGGAATTACGCATGCATGAAAATTCATAGGACCGAGTTGTGAACTTTACCTTTGCTTTGAGTTTCTCGACCTCTTCATTGGCCAGAGCGAACTTATACTGACTCTGCAAGCATTCAACACGAACACACAAATATGCATAAGCAAAAACAAAAACTCCATATTACAGTATGAAAATTAACTTAAAAAAAAAATGAACGAAACAACGCCCAGTGGACATCCAATAGTGACCAGAGTTGACAATCTCTTTCATTTTATCTACCAAAGAATACACATACACAGCAAAATCCACTGATGAAAAATATATCTCCGTGATAATTATTCAAACCATTACGACAAAGTATCATTATTAAAAAACGTATTTGCTATTTCGGTAAATATTCACATAAAATTCTGCACTTTCAATTCAACAAAACGATTTGGACGAATCAAGTTGCAGTACCCAGTGAATAAATAAAAAACCAGAGTAATTTTGAGAGTTTGAAATTTCAAATCCAGAAATACATACGTCAAAAAATAAAATAAATAAAAAAAAATACACCAGTAAATACACGTGCTGTACCAACAAACGAGGACATAGAATTATTATTTACATTACAGAGAGGATTTGGAGTGGAACGGTTTCGCGTACCGGAATGCAACCCAAAACTCGTAGGGAAATAAAAAGGGATGAGAATAAAGGAAATAAAGGGAGAATGAAATGTACCTCCTGCAGCAGCTGACGGAGACTCTCGACATCACTCTGGGTGGTGACGTGGGGTCCGGATGAGCTTATTATTGGTGATCTACTTCTGGTTGTTGGTGAGAGGTAATTTTCAATGGGGCTGTGAGGTGGCTCTCCCTCAGAGCACGATGACATTGCAGGTGAACCCGGTATTCCTGGGAATCCACTGACACTGCTTATAGAATGGTCATCTCTCTGCTGGCATTCTCCAGAAGTATCCGAGAAATTTAATTTCCTGAGGTGCATGAGAATGAACATCAATGGGTTGATGAATGTTGTATGAAAATTCGTGAGATATTAATGGAATTTATGAATTGTCTTTCGTTTTGCATTTTCTTCAGCACTCCAGGAGGTCTCGGCCTCGTCCCAGGGTAGCCGTTATTGTCGACGCAAATTATTTGCGGGCGAGGATGTGCCATCATCGAGAAATGCATGGGTTTTAATTTCATTTTATTACCGAAACGATCAGTCAAGCGTAATTTTTTCAATTTATATTAATAGTGTTAGGATACATTTGATAATTTTTTCACGCTCTTCAAAATCACCGGGGACTAGACTATCCGCGAAAATCGACATCTCTTTTTCGTGGATTTCAACCACTTATGGTCTTTGTTCGTTATCTTTGCGGCTCTCTTGGGAATGGAGAAGATTGGGGGAAATGTTATTAAGAGATCCAGGAAATTTCCAATCCCACGCGCTAGAAAAATTCAATCCTCTTTCATTACGCGTCCGGATATCGAGCGGAGGTCTTTCTTTAAAAACGGTTTTTGTGCCAATACCTCGGGTTCTAGTGAAGTAAAATAGGTCAGGTGGTATCAAATAAGACCGGAAATCTTCTTGAATCACTAACGAAACATTCATTGTGATATTGAGTGGCAATTCATTTCCACTCATCGCAAATTTAATTCAAATGTTTTCTCCACTTTTAACCCCTGGGATAAATAAATAAATCTACAAAACTAGTCAACATGTAAAAAAATACACGAATTTCCCCACGCATTTAAAAATTCAACAGTAGAATGACACGAAATCTATCTCTAAAATATTTTTCGAGTAGAAATTTATAATGTAAATAAATTCTATTCTCTTGTGGGGACATTGAGTGGAAAAAATATTATCAACAGATTAAAAAACTGCACAGCATATGAATAATTTCCGAAATAATTTATATTCAAAGACAATCTGTGACGTGAATGAGGGATTCACGTATCCGAAACGCGACTAGCAATTAAGGCTTATTAAATCGATTATTCCCATCTGAATCACATAGAACTCACTTCGATGAGCCTGAGTAGAATCCAATTAACCGATTGCTGGACAATATCCTCAAGCCTCAACAAGTTGAGAGACTCATGAATTTAATTTCCCAACAGTCGCCGCATCGTTAGAAGACAATGTACGTTCATTAAATCAATAAATTCCATTTTATGGGATTAAATTGATCCCGACAAATTGAAAATGATTAATGGCTGAAAAACGAAAGAGTCAGGAGAAATAATTCCTCTGGAAAAATAATCAAGATGCAGTGCTTTGTTAAAATGATAAAGCTGTGGAAGGCTGTTCTCTTTTTTCTGCGTATTAAATTGCAGCGTACTTAAAAACCCCTAATGCCTCCTGGGCAAGAAAAAAAAAAAAAATTACAACAAGAAGTCTCACCTATTAGCATGATGCGCTTGTTCCCTCTCAGCATCCGCTTTCAGGCTTTGCCTAATGAGCATCGCAACCTCCGAATTTTTGGGATCCTTCTCCCTCCCGATAACAAACCTCACAAGGCCCGAAGTGTTCCTAAGTACCCTAGCAGCATAAGCCTGAGTAACACCCACCAACGACTTGCCATCCACCTCCACAATCTGATCATTAACCTGAATTCTCCCCTCTCTGGCAGCAGCCCCTTTATCAGTAATCGTCTTAACGAAAATTCCCAACTTCTCAAGACCAGCATCAGCCCCAACACCCATGCCAATGATACTGAGTCCCAGGCCCTCGGGACCCTTCATCAACTCCACTGGAAATACCTCCATCTTCTCCACCCTCTTCTCGAGCTCATACTCAGCACTAGCAGCGACTGGATCAACATCCTCATTTCTCCTGTCATACTCAGTCACCGAATGCGTCGAATAAACTTTCATGGGTCCACAGTCGAAAGACACTTTTCCATTCTTCTTTGGCACAACACACCCCAGATCCTCATCCTCATCGGACTCCGGTAATCCCTCCACTTCCATCCAGAAATGTCCATCCTCGAAGAAATGCTTACCATTCTCGACGAGAATTATTTTACCAGGGACAGGTGTATAATCATCCCTCTGCTCAGTCTCAGTGTCATCATTTGTCTGTGTATCATTGAGACTGCTGACTGATCCCAGCAGTCCACTCTCACTTCCAGTTACAGAACCAATTTGACTCTCGGTGAGAGAATCAATGGTCAAATCACTCCTCGATCTCTGGGACAGACTGTAATCCTGAGTTGTGCTGTTTATAATACTTGAGTCCTGAACTGAGAGAACATCTGACAGCCAGTCTGGAGTATTGTCCATATCCTCTTTATCCTTCTCCTTCTCCTGTCCCAGATCCTTCTCCAGGGTGTGCTCCTCGGAGGTTGAATCGATGGTGGGGGACAGCAGTCTTGCTATCTCCTGAGCCTCTTCGTCAGACAGCAGGGCTGATCCCTGTCTGATCTTCTTCTCCAAAATTCGAGAGCTCAATAAATTCTCAGCCTCATCGGCTGTCATCGTGTCCGGTGTCACAGCAGCTGTTGGAACACTCCTCGAGGGTGTCTCAAATCTCTTGGAGACATCCGATGATATCAGACTATCGACATTGGTTATTGTCTTAGATTCGCTGGAGTCTGTGTCCTCTATGAAACTGTTCTCCAGTTCTCTGGGCTCTTCAGGGTCGTCTTTAGGTGGAACCGGCGACGATGAGACCGTCACTAGAGCTGTTTTCACAGGAATTTTCGAGGGATCAAGGACTTCTGAGGCCCTCAGTGCAGCTAATTGATCAGCTTTTTGTTTCTCCAATTCCCAAGTCGTTTGTATTTGCTCTGGAGAGACTAGCGGTGCCTTGTCAGTGGTATCAGCGGCTAAATTATTCTTCAACGATGAGATCTTCTCTTTATTCTCCACCAGGTCTAACACTTGACTATTCTTATCTGTTTCTGTGAACGACGAGCGTTTCTCTGACACTTCGTCCTTATTCCTAGCTAATTTCTCACGCATCGAGACTTTAATTTGATCATTCTTAGCGTTTGATACTGTCTTTTGGCACGTTACGTCATTTATCTGTTTCTCTTTTTCAAGGGCATTTTTTACAGCTATAACTCTTGAATTTGTCATCTCAGTGGTTGGTCGGATGTTTATCGGTAGCTCTGGCTTTGATTGAGATTGAGAACGAGCGTTTGCCTCTTGTTGGAGACGTTTTGCGTAAGGGGATGGCACGGGAATCTCCTTGTGCTCTAGAGCAGGAAATTCCTGATCTGAACTTATCACTGATGGCGGACGCTGACCTAAACCTGCAGCTGGCATGTCCATTCTCACGTGAGACCTGCGGACCACAGTTGCCACATCAGTCTCCACGAATTTTTCAGCTGTACTACCATCCTCGTCGTCGTCTTCTTCTTCACAGGGAAGGGCCTCCGACGCCGAGGGCTTCTCCGGAGTCTCTTGCTCGAGATCATAACTGTTTCGACCTTGAATCCAAAGAACCATTTTCCAATCAATTAATCATCATTTCTAGCATTTGAGGTAATTAAATTTATTTTTTTTTTATGAGCAACACAATTCAAGTCTTTTAATTCGATTCTCGTTACCTCGACAATCGATGCAAAAAAGCCGCAGACACATGCTGCGACCTATCCTCACCGACTTTCCGTATCGTTTTCGCTCCGTCGTAATTACTCAATTAATTTCCTCAACTGATAGCAAATTGATTAATCAATACTGATAAACGTACACCGTAATTATCACGAGATATACTCGTTAATATTGCGCACGTAAAAATCCTAAAAATATCGCTCACCCCGTCGTCACCACTTTCCAGTGGAAAAAATGGCTTTCAACTCGGTAAAAAAGAAATTGTAAGAATCAGGATAAAGCTGATCCAACTAAAAATGATGGCAGTAGATATGAATTTCAATTAAAAAAATCAAAAATAAGTGACTAAGATTTTTAAAAATAGAAAAACTCCCGGAACTGACATCATAGAATATGTTATACCCTGGAATCACGTTTCACCATTGGATATAAATAATTAAAAAATCTATTAGATCACTCTTTCAACCACTTCACCACTCATTCCAGTTAATCACAAATATCCATTACGTGTTAACTCGTTTGTCCACGAATCCGAGTGAAAGCCAACGAAGGGGTTTAAAGAGGTACGAGACGATTCCGAACGCACGCTCGCACTGATTTCTATAAATAATACTAAACCAACCAGAGGTACCAGTACCCAGCAACCGGTAGGGGAAACATTGGAGCAAAAAGGACAGTTTCTTGAGTGGGGAAAAAAAAAGGGAATAATATTAAAAGAACCGAGTGAAATTTGAAAACTTGTTTACGCACGTTTTTCAGGACCTTTTTGCCATTTGGCATCTATCCAATATCATGAGAACGTTAAATGTTTTCGTTTCGCGTGGGTGGTTCATTCATTGAGATCCATTCAGGCCAAAAATAATTCAGAAGAGTGGTGCTGAGTAATAAGAGTGCGGATTAAGGATTTCCAAGTGGTACAGTCCATCGAGTCAAATTCGAGAATAAATAATCCACTCTGAATAATTATTTATTATTTTAAAATTATATAAATCATTATGAATAAATTGATTTTCACTCCGAGGGGTTAGTTATTAAATTTATTTATTTGTATTCATGTAATTTTTAAATTAATTTAAGTAATTTTTAATTAAATTAATTAAATTCCCGAGGTAGAAGTTTAACGGAGAGTTTATTGAAAATTCTAGTGAAAAAAAATGAATTCTCAATTAAAATAAGAAAATGATTATTGAAACGTCTTTGTGATGGTCAAAGCGAACAGACGAGATAATAATTGCATTGAGGAGAAAAAAAAATCCATTTCGACAGCTTCAAAAGACATGAATAAACAACTAATTCATTCCTACGACTTCGCCTCCCTCTTTCCCCCGCTGTACATCGCGACTCAATTCAATACTCTGAATGTATCTACTGATGTGGAAGTCTCTCCACTTGATTACTTTCCTCAGATGTTTTTCATGCAAATAGAGAGCATTCCCCAGGTACCCCCTGCGAGAAAAAACAGCTAAAATAAAAAAAAAATAAGAAGAACTACCTTGAAGCTTCTCCGGCAGCTCTTTATCAGCCTTCTCCTCTCTGCTATCTTTCGATGGAGAACTGGGTGAACTCATACTGGAGGATGCACTGTCTGTCCTGGATGGTGGCCTAAGTTCATGATCAGGTTTTGCCCATTCAGGTCTGCTTATCGGCCTCTCAACCCCATCCCCAGAGACCTTGACCTCTGAATTCTTGAGTATCTCCTCATTCTTCGCCAGCCAAACATTTCTCCACTCTGATGTTTTCGGTGGTGGTGCTTTGATGGGACTGGCAACAGCAACGCAACTCTCCTCGATATCCAAATTATCGATCTTCTTGTCGTCCTCGGTGTCGTGTGGACTTGGACTGGACTCTTTGCTCAGATCACGTGGACTGGCTACTGGTGGTGGATTTGGACTAGATTTATCTTTCAATTTGGCTTCCAACACCTTCTTGGAGCCCATTGGTTTCTGGACAGTGGCGTATTCTGGCATTGGCTCGTCAATCTTGACGATTGGCTTTGTCTTCTGTACAACAGCGTACTCTGGAATAGTTGGTGAACTATCAAATGATTTAGTAACAGTTGCATACTCTGGTGATACAGGTGACTCAGAATCAGTCGATGAAACAGCTGAAAAACTAACTGGCCTCTCTTTTCTCACAGCCGATGAATTTCTTGTTGGTGGTAATGGAGGTGGTGGTGACATAGTTGGCGATGGCCTCGAGCTGCAAAATGACGCTGATCTCGTTGCTGGACATGGCTCCGATGATTTTTTAAAGTCAATCTCCTGATAATCAGATTCCGTCGAGTCCAATGAATCGTCGACAATCAGTCTTTTAGAATTTTGATTTTGTATTGACGTTTGTACTAGTGATTTATTTGGATCGGAGTTATAACGACTGGGTCGTGTCTTTGAAAAATGACTGGTCCAATTTTTTTGCTTCTCAATGAGCTCTTTTGAATTTAAACGCCTCTCTGGTTTCTCTGGTTTCTCTGGCTTCTCCTCCCTACGATTCTCTTTGCCGTAATTTTTATCAAATTTCGAGGACACTCGTTGCTTCATACGCTCACTATTCTCTGTTGCGTGATGACCATTTTCAAAGTGACGCTCGGCATTTAAGGCGGGAACACTTGCACTCCAGTTGCTCAGGTGGTCTCGACAGCTGCCCGGTGGTGAGGGTGACGAGGGACGTGGTGAACGAGCTGGTGATGTACATCCTGACCCAGAATTTGCTGAACTCGACCGAGAACGGAGACCGTGGAAATTCGTTGGCTTAGCCAGTCTGGAAGAAAACAATTTGATACTGCTGATGGGGTAACTCGTAATTTTTTCTCTCTCTACTCCTGGATTCATTAGTTTGTGTTGTATATTTCTTCCCCGGGGGGGCTGACAGGGGCAAGAGATGATGAACTTCTTTTTGAACAAGTTCGTTGAGTACTCGGGAGAAATGAGTTTCGTAAATTTTTTCCTATAGAAAATTTGTCAGACTCTTTTCGATGGAGGAGATAAAAATGGTGGAGCAATTTCATTCTGGATGAACGCTATAATTCCTGGATATATATATACATTTTTATGGTTTGAGTAACGAACCACATTTTTTATAATTCAGGAAATGTCGAGTTTGAGGAGTTCTGAGGGATTTCAGGTGGGAAATTTGAGAATGAAAAATTAATAGGCCATGAAAATGCAGCAATTCTCCCTCAAGTTTTCGCGTTTCGTTTCCCTAGTTGCTTGTGATAAAAATGGTTTGCCGGTAGTGCAGAGTTATTTTCAATTTCACTCTATCGATTTTCAGTGGCTGATTATTGAAAACAATTCATTTTTCCAGGCTTTCTCTTGGGTAGAACTATTTATATTCAGGGTCGTAACTCAGAATCATGTGCTAGTGCTTTCCAATTATAAATGGATCGGAAAATTACGATGATTGCTGGATAAAAAGAATATTTACAGTCGTTTCGCAGATTGAGTCACTTGGAAAATCAGGAAAAATCAATTTTCCACTCGAAAATGAAATAAAAAATTTTTTTTCTTTCGAGTTTTCCATTTTTCTTATGTCAGTCTTCATAAAAAATTATTAAACCCATACCTCATGCGTAGCAGACAATAAAAACCTAATTGTCGAGCTTCGCGGGTAATTTCAAATTACTCTAATTTAAAATGTGTGAAGTGTCATCCACTCCGAGGCAAAACCTATACTCTCATTTCGTATTCTTCAACCCCATTATCCGAGACAATTATAACACCGTAATATCTCGAGAAATGACAAGATGAATTATCCTTTGTACGTACCTACGACGAAATTTTATTTTCCACATAATTTTTATAAAAATTCATTAAATACTCCAATTTTCCTATTAATAAAATTTCTGAATGAAAAAAATTCGAGGGATTAATGACTCTGCAAAAATGATTTCAAGTACAGGAAATGTCATCTATTCAGAAAGGCCTGTCCCTGTTTGATACCCTGAGTTTAATCTGAGAGAATTATAACACCGTAATATCTCTCTGAATGTCTAGATAAATGATCTTTTGTACTCACGGTCTATTAGATTTATTCTCCTCTCCAAGTTTCTCGAAGAGTGCTCGTGCATTATTAAACCTAGCCACATGGCTCTCAGTCCTGACCACAGTCACCTGCGTTGGTGAGTCCTTGAGTGGCGCAGCAGGCTCTTTAAAACCATCTGGATGTATAGTTGTTGGACGATGAAGATGTCCAACGTCATGCTGTGGCTTTGATTGGAATATATTGGCTATTGCTGACACTTTGGTGCCAGCCACACGTTTCTTGTCCTCAACCGTTGACATAATCGACCCTTTAGTCGTCTTATCTTTCTGCTGATTCAATGATAACGTCAGATTTTTTATTGCGATGTGTACGCGTAATGCCGAATTTATCAATTTATGGATTATCGTGGTGAAGGAGAGTGATCGCAGAATATCAACCATACCTGGAATCTCAGCTGTTCTCATTTAGAAATAAAAAATATTAAGAAAATAATCCACTTCTTCATGTTCTCAGCCAAATAATCAAGCCATTGCAACTCAAAGATAATCACAATTCAAATTAAAAATTATATAAACAGCCTTCGGTGCTTAGATATTTGTTATTATTTTTAATTCAACGAGTTCGTGTGTGTGATCATTCAAAAAATATATTGAACGACAAAAAAAAGTGCAACCTCTCTCGATTATCCTCATGCTATGAACACTTGTGCAACTTAAACTTCACGTTTTACCACTTCACACGAGCCATCATTTAAATACTCTACTTTATAGCTCCACCTCTGTATCGGTTTTTAAATATGAAAATACCTGATGAAGTTGACATTGAATTTATATTCTCCCACCGGTATCTCGGGAAAATCGAGAGAATTTTGTTTTCATCCCACAAATCGTGGAAATAATATTTCCCTGGTCTTTAGAAAATAAAAATAAAATATAAAAGTGGTGGACGCACGTGCTCATTGCGTTCCTTATTGATCGTCAATACCCAAGTCTATTATTACTCCTAGTAAATACCGATGTACCGGTATGTTTGAGGTAATTTATCGTTAAAACGAGGGGAAAAAAAGATCTGGATGATGAAGGAGATGAGTACTCAGGTAGACAGCGAGAGGTGATATAAAAATTGTTAGAAAAATCTTCATGGCAATGCACACGTGAAGCCGCCAGAATAGTCTGGTCTTCGCCATTTTCCCCTCCTCTATATTCCTCTATATCCCTCTATCCCTCTATTCCTCATGGTTTTACCCCGCGGCTGAATGTTCTCTCCCCAGCAATCAATACTTGAATCCTGGTTTGTGTGGCTGAACTTGAGGCGCTCTCAGACCAAGAGGTGTATTCATCTCTCATTTCATCTCTACCTCATCCTCTCCCTTTCAATTTCACATTTTCACTGAATTGCTAAAACCTCAAGCCTCAAGAAAAAATCCTAGTGGGAATGATACGAAAATCTACAGGAAATTATTGGTGTGCTATTTCCGAATGCAATTCAATCCAATCAATTTATTTATTGTCCTAATTTGATCGTTCGTTCACCTAGAATTCGGAAAACAAGTGATGCCCATCTGGTAGGTAATTAAAACCACTCGCATATTATCCAGATTGATAAGCCGGATTAAAGAATCACGAGAATAATAGCAAAACGAGAATTTCATGAGTAAAGTAAAAGCGATTTTGCGATTCAAAAAGCGGAAATAGTCTCACGTGAGGGAAGGGGCCCGATCTGAATGCCAAATGAATTGGAAATTCTTCCTCATGCGGTGGTCTACCCAGAAATCGAAGGCATTCCTTGAATTACTAATAATGCATTAGAAATAATGAGAAATATGTCGCATTAATTTATTCAGTATCAGGGGCCCATTTGGTTTAATTAATTCAATTCGTGAGACAAATTATTATCATGATTTTCCCACTCGTGGGTTATTATCTGTGTTCGTGCTTTATCGCTGATCCATTTATCACTTTTCGTGATTGCTATGGCTGAATCATTCGCCGAAATCATTTTTTTTTACTGCTGTTTCCTTTGTTTATTAAAAATCTTGACTGATAAAAATGTCGAGGAAGTGGTGAGCTGTAATATTTTCGGTAATAAATATCGATTGTTTTGGAGCTCTTCCGAGAGATAAGTTCTTGTTTAGTTTTCAGGTAGTGAATTCGTGTTGTTGAATTTTAAAACCTCCTACTATCTTTTTTTGATTATTTTTTCTTGTTTATTTGGCCAGTTCTTCAATGAATTTATTAATTGTTGAATATCTTCTGAGGAAACCGAGATACAAAAATTTTCATTGATAGGTTTTTTCTGGAGCTGAGTGCGTGCTAAAAAAAAGTCTTCACAAAAAATTCTGTATCTCTCCTCATTTGTAAGATATTCGGCAATAATGACGTATACCTCAAATAATTCACAGAATTTCGCTATTTAAATCCTCAAAGAATTCTAGATTCCACGTAATTATCATCCTGTGCACTCTCCCACAACGAAAAAACAATCTACATAATAATCTGTCATCAACACCTGGAAAACGACTCAAACCCGATTTAACCTGATCGACCCAGGCCCAAATTTCCCGTGTAAAAAAAATCTCGATAAAAAAAATCCCAAAAAAATGATAAAAAGGCACATAAATTCCACCCCCAAGTGATGAATTCTCGTTTCAATTGTTGAGCGTCGAATTTAATGTAAATTACATTCCAATCACAGGCCATTGACCGTTGAATTCAAGGCCGAGTGCAAGAGTCCAACGAAAAGTTTGAAAAGAGGGAGCTTTGGTCCCCCGATCAGCCCGTTAAAACCCCCCCAAAAAAAACCCCCAAAAAAGCATTGAAAAGCCCCAACAAACACTGATAAACTGATAAAGGACTCACTAGAGATGTCACCATGTGCATGAAACCATTTCTCCGGCAATAAATGCGGAGACGATGTGTCGCCGCTTCCGGAATGGAGGCAGTGGCTTCTTTTATTCCTCTTTATTTCACGAGCCAATGAACATTGTTCTCAATCAGATGACTTATCCCCTGAATCGATGAAAATCCCCGAATTAATAATAAATAAATAACAACAATAAAATACCTAAATCGAATAAAAAAAACTCCACTGATCACTGACGCCTAGTTATTTCACAGAGAAGACAAATTTCTCTCTCACTTTTTATCACAACTTCAGTCAACGAACTCAATGAATTATTGAGCCAATTATTGTTTATATCATCGATTAAGGTGCTCTTGGTTATTATTGAATGCTGACCTGGTGGAGTGTTATTTTTTCGGGGATTATTAATTTTTATAATTAATTAGGGGGTGTGAGTTTTGTTGGGGCTTTTATGATAAAATAAAAAAACACACTGCACCTTGGGACAGCATAAACCGGCCTGGGGAACAGCTCGTTGTCAACTGCCATTGAAAAAATTGTTTTATAGAAACGTTCAGTTTTTACCATCCTGGATAAAATAACGCCACCTGGTATCGGTTTGGCAGATTTCTTCGGTGATTTTTATTTGACAGTTGACCTGTCAGTTGGGTTTCCTGTCTCGGTTGGGCAGTCTCTGGGTTGAATTTTTTTTTCGGGTAAAAATAAGAGACAACTGGAGATTTTCCACGTGCGTTTTGTCGACGATTTATTTTGTTGATATTTGGATATTCGTTTGGAGATGGAGGACGACGAGGTTCGCAGGATCCTGGAGGTGTCACACTTGGGGAAGTTTATTCTGGCGGAGTGTAAGTCTTTATGGTGGTGCTTTTTTTTTCGGGGTATTTTTCGGGGAGATAAATAAACCGGAAGTTTTGGGGGTTGGGGGCATTTGGAGGGAATTGAAAAGTTCGGGGATTCATCATTTTTTGGGGGTGGGTGGACGTTTTTCAGATATTCATCAAATTTCCGACGGGCCCTTTTTTTTTTTTGAGGATGGGAGTTTGATTATTTATTGATTAAGTTCATGGCACCTCGGATTTTTCCAATTTGTAAATAGGGGTGAGGGGTTTTTCTGCTTTTGGGGGTTGATCGAGGGAAATTGAATTCTCGCGGAAATACTGGGGGTTCATTCGATTTTTTTTCATGTTACTCCCCATTGTCACTTCTCGTGTTTGTATTTAATTTACGATTCACTGTCATGCTTCAGATTTTGGTCAATTACATCAATTAAATGAATTTTTTTAAAACGGAACAATTCAATAAAAAACAAAACTTTTTTTCGCAAATACTCACTCATTTCCGGGAATTGTCAATATTGAAAGGAATAAATCCGTTGAAATTTCTTTTCCTTATTAAATAAATCGATTGTTATTCAAAAAAAAAGATGGATTTCTTTTGCGAAGGTGCGCCCCCGGGTGAGGGTGACACCCTCTACTACAAGACAGTCCTGGATAATTTGTGCTTGAAATTAAATCTGCGGAGTGTAATATCGTCGGAAAATCTGGAGTCATCACTTGAGAAATCAATTGAAAATAATTACGAGAAATGCATCGAGTGGTTGTGCCTGGGTATAGCATCATTGAACTCATTTATCCAGTGCAATTGGACTGGCCCAGAGGTAGATGTCGACCTTGACTGGCTGGTCCATAAACGGGATGAAGCCGTTAAAGGATTAGCACTTGGAGATCAGTGTAACGACAACGCCGAACACCTAGAATTTCTCTACCTCTCAAAGCTCATTTTCACGAATAAAACATTACAAAGCATTTGCGTTACCACTCTGTGGTGGCTTTTGCGAGGGAATCTAGTCCATCAATTAATAATGGAAGAGGAATCACCGATTCTGCTGGAGTCGAGTGAACTGCTCATTGAAAAAGTCAGAGAATTGAACATCTGGGGAATTCCAAAATTCGAATACCTGGAAACTCTGTTCAACATTGAGGCCGCACAAGTTTGGATGTTCTACCGACACATTCCTAATATCGAAAAGTACCTGAAAAAGGCTGAGACCTGCGCGGGGTTGAGTCTTGAGCTCCAAGGGGCAATGGGAAAACGAACGAAATATCAGGTCGAGGACAAGCCACAATTATTCCTCAGGATTCAAACCGAGAGGGAAAATTTTACCTCTTACGAATGCCCACAGCTTCCGATATCTGTGCATTTAAATGACGATTTGAGATTGGAGAGGATTAAGTTCACCGAGAGTACTCAGTCAGTAAAGCTTGGAATCATCGAGGAAACTTTTGTAATGGCAAAATGGTGAGATAAACATTCAATTATTGCCGACAAAACAGCAGAACATTCAATAATTGTTTACGTATAATCCTTGTTTCGGTATTGCGTATGGGTTAAAACACATAATTATTTTGGGAATTAATCTCCCGAGCTCAGCATTGTTAATGGCATATGTGAAACGGATTAAAAAAAAAAATCTTAATGGAATAATCCGACTACGCGAACGTGAGAAGTCAATATTGAAATATTCTTTGAGTGCATATCCTGAAACTTTCAGGACTTCCGGCATCAGATCATTTTTATTTAACGTTTGAATTTTAATAGAGGAATTTTTCATGAAAATTTGTGGAGATTTTTCATGAAAATTTGTGGAGATTTTTCATGAAAATTTGTGGAGATTTTTCATGAAAATTTGTGGAGATTTTTGAGGGGCTCAAATGGATCGATAGAATTCGAGGGTAATTTCAGATTTTTCTGTGTGAATTCTGAGATATTCACTGCCAACTGAAGGAGCAGCTGAATCGATTTGTTTCCCTTTCCTACTTCACTCTCATTTTTTTTCTCTTTTTTTTTACTTTCAGTATGCATTTGCAATTATGCCAACCGAAAGACCATCTCGCTGAGGAAGAAATCTCTCCATATTTGAACGTAATTCTCACTTTACCATAGAATTCAGATTAATTCGAGAGCGAAGTGGTAACCCGTGATGTTCACTCGTGAAATTTTTAATTTCCAACGGATCGCCTGGACAAATTCCAAGCGGAAGCTGTCATCTGACACCTTGTCCCGCGATCTTAAAAATAAAATTGATTGACGAATAATTCAGGGCAGTTATATGCGGACATGATAATCGAATACAACCAGAATTCATCGATTTTCGATGGAACTGGAGGCAATCTGTTCCCCGTAATATTTCCATCAAAATGCCAGATGGTTCTTTCAAATTTCTCTCTGTCATTCTGATTAAAAAAAAAAACATTTCAACTCGACAGAAACCATTCAGTCTCTAAAAAACCGCGGTAATTTTTCACCAGGATTTACATCCGAAACTGGCCCTTGAAAATTCAATACCTAATCCGCCTGTTCACGAATAAAACTCCAATAGATTCCCCAACATTTTGCAATTGGAATGAAACGATTGAAACAATTTCACACGACCTCTAATTTTTTATCCCATCCTCAAAGATTTTTCCCAATTTATTCCATCTCCAGTTTCGTTTCGGTTTTTACCTCTTTTTTTTATATTAATTAATTATCGATTTCTGATAGCTTTGAGTTTCTTTGAGGACCTGAAAGATTCGTTGAAATAAAAAATGAAATATTACCACTTGGCTCACGAACTTCGTAATTCGGTATTTGAATTCCCTTTTGACACCCAGACAATCATCGACAACACGAGAAGTTGGCCGTTGAAGATGGAAGCCTTGCGCCATCGTTGCCTCCTGGAGATGCGGAACAAACGCACCATAGATCGTGCTCTATCTCAATCCGAGTGTCTAATCACCCACTATAGCAATCCTCAGCCCATTGTGTACCACAGAACGTACAATATATTTGCCTCCGGTATGAAACCGATCTGGCACTTCAAGGAGATATTGGCGGATACAATGTTGAGTCTTGGGTTGGTTAAGGGTGCACTGGAGTTGTACCTTAAACTTCATCAATGGGAACAAGTTATTGTTTGCTATACTCTCCTGGAGCTTCGTCATAAGGTAAATACAAAAGTCAACGAACGAATGCTCGCTCGTTTCTGCTGTTCAATTTAATTCAATTGAAAGAAATACGAGTGCTCGCAAAACATTTGCGACCTACTATTTTTTTATTTTATTTTTTTAAAGTTAAAATGTGTAATTTGTAATCTGAAAAGCATCGTTGATTCATTAATGTCACTTCAGTTGAGTTTTACATGAGAGAAAAATCGATGGAAATTCATGGAGGGAGAAACGCTGTTTGATTTATCTCCTCTCTTTCCCTCAACAAAATTTATTTTCAAGATTAAATATTTTCCAAGAGCTTGTGAATACACCTGAATAACGAGTGAAGGAATACCAGATGAAATAACAGCTTGGCATTTTTTAAAAAAGCAGAAGTATTTACACTCGACTTGTCACCCCAATTATGCTCCCATTGGAATTTCAGGCAGCTGAAATAATTCGCCAAGAAATCACGAAGAAGCCAACAGTGAAACTGTGGTGTTTGCTCGGTGATGCGGAACAAGAGACATCGCACTACGAAACCGCTTGGAAATTATCAAATGAAACAAGCAGCAGAGCACAGCGTCACTGGGGTATGTATTATTTTGCGAAGCAGAGCTACGGTGATGCAATACCCCACTTGAAACTATCAGCGGATCTCAACAACATTCAGGAGAATGTGTGGATACGCCTTGGTTTTGCCGCTCTACAAGTTGAAGATTGGAAATTGGCGGCAACTTCATACAGACGTTATTGTGCCCTCGAACAAACGAGCTTCGAGGCCTGGAATAATCTGGCAAAGGCTTATATTAAACTAGGTGACAAACCACGTGCATGGCGTTCACTCCAGGACGCGGTCAAGTGTAATTACGACAAGTGGGAGGTATGGGATAATCTGATGGTTGTTAGTATCGATCTTGGCCACTTTTCCGATGTTATAAGGTGTTACCACCGTATTTTGGAGCTCAAGGGTAAACACATTGACCTACAGGTACTCAATATACTGGTTAAAGCTATATCGGAAGATGTTACCGATGCCAATGGCTTTGGATCAAGCAAATTGCTACATAAAGCACTTGAACTGTTTGGTAAAATAACATCACTTGTACATAACGATACCGATGTGTGGAGGCTATATGCACAGTTAACTATCGGACAGGGTAGCCATATCGATTGTCAAAAAACAGCCCAATATTTGCAACGAGCGTATCGATCAGCCATTGCCGATCCCACATGGTTCACTGATACTTACACCACACACAATGTACTTGAGCTTTGTAACAGCCTCGCAGATGCATATTTAAACTGCTCAACGGTTGCTCCTGAGAAGGAAAAAAAATCATTGCTCGGCAGCGCTAAGTTATCCCTACAATCGGTTATTACCAAAGTCAAGCAGGAGGGGATCGTTTCGGATGATATCGCCGGAGGTCTTGCAAATCTTGAGAGTAAACTCGCTGTAATTATTCAAGAATTTGACAAAATAAATGCATAAAAATATTTATTTCTGTTTTTTCTTTTTCAAATCAATTTTTAATCGCAGACTGGCAAATGGAGTCTTCGTGGTACATCCGTTTTTTGATAGATTGTTGGTGTATGAGTTATGGAATATACTGATCAAAGCGATAGCCAGCGATATTAACCATGGAGATGGGGCTAGATCACGCAAATTGCTGCATAAAGTACTTGAACTATTTGGTGAAATAATAGCACTTGTACGTAATGATGCCAGTCCTGTGGCTATATGCTGATTTAACTATTCTCCAAGAGCTGTATCGACTGTCAAAAAGCAGAACAATGTTTGGGTAACAATGGAAATTGTATTGCTGATTCCCTGGTTTTAGGCCAATGGAGTCTAGATAAAAATTGTGTTTAAATTTCCGGGAGGGGGGAAACTACTCTTTCTTGCGCAGAGTAGGAAGGTGAAGCTAGTTGGTGTTGAAATAATCGCTCGGCTTGTTATTCCGGGAGTTTAATGAGAAAAGTTAATGGCGATTGATGGCGGGGCCTAGAAAGGGTTGTGGATAAACTTAAAGTGATTCTTCAGCAATCGAATGGAATAAATCAATCTACATGAGCAGTGTTTCAAGCCTCTTTGTGACCTCGTTTATTTTTTACATTTTCGTTGGGCTCGGTGATTTTTTTTTTTGTATTCATTCGAGTTATTGGCACATCAAACGTATTGTGAATATCAATGGTATTGAATCTGCATAAGTTGGTTGAATTAAATTGTTTTATAACAAAGTTCATTGAATATTTTATTCCTGGAAATTGCAGGGTATTGATTTCCCATTGTGACAGCAGACGCTCGGAATATTGAGGTCGATTTGCTTCCAGGGGAGATCGCAAATTTTCATGCCGAGGGTGACCTGAAATCATTTTTAGAGAGGATTATTAATTCTCGGTGTCAATTGTTTGACTTTCCATTGAATTTCCATCGAATTTCCATCGATTTTCATTTCATTCAACGATCATCAATCGATACTTTGAACAATTATGGGGTGAGATTTTTATTTAATCACTGACTTCTTCGGGTTTTCTTCCGTCGGCTTCCGGTTGCTCAATTATTCGGGGGTTTTTTTTTTCAAGGATTAGTTATCGTTGATTGCTCCATTCATTCCTCGATATTATCGTTTCAATGATTCTCGCCTGGGATTGAATATGATTAAACTCACAGTGTACTTGGTTGAGTTATGGGTTTGCATATGGGGTTTATGAGAGAAATCGGTGAATAGATTGTTCTCGATGGTCAATAACGCAAATTTCAGGGATGGAAATGCCAAGAACTTCGGATCGGTTGGACCGACGACATCTGAATAATGTCTCCCAGAGTTGAAATTTCATTTCTCACCATTAAATTTTTATATTCTCAATTAAATGAACGAGAGCCACTCTCTATTAAATAAATTGATAATTAAACAAAATGTGCTGGCGAAAATTGTTAATGAATTACGTGCGCCCGGGGCGCACAAAAAATATGCAATTATCCCCTAATTGAAAGAAGAATTGGGCGAGTATTCGCGATGAATTGCCAAAGGAAAAAGAAGAGTGAAAAATTCAGGATGAAGGTTTGTTAGGAAAAATTCGAGACTCCAAACACGAGCTCGAAGCACATTTACAACAGCCCTCGAGATATTTAAAAACCAACTTTAACACTGTGAAAAAAGTTTTTCGTTTATATCTGAAGAACTATCACGAGAAAATAGGCTGCCTCCATAAAGTTTGAAATAGAAAACTTCTCTGACTATCCGATGAGAAAGGATGAGAGAAAAAAAAAGAAAGAATTTCATCATCGATTTCGCTACCATTCTGGCGATATTCACTACTTGTTTTTTACTCGTTGAGTACAAAAAGAAAATGTGAAAGTCCATTGCTCTTGAATTCCAATTTTCCTCTCCTTATACTTCCAACAACAAGACAAAATAAAAAAAAAAGATGAAATTGCCAGACTAAGGTAGAAATATTAAAGAAAAAAAAAAATACTCACGCGCAATTTCTCCACGTGAATTTTCAACTTGTCGCAAATCATATCTGGCGCCTTGTTCTCAGCAGCTTGTGCCTGTAAATTTATGTTAAATAACATTTTCACATTTAAATGCTAATATTTTTATTAGACTACCGGTATTTACCAGGACTGTGCAAATTTGTTGGCATTTGTTGGCCCCATCGTTGCTGCATGGTACTTTAAATTGGAATGTTTGTTCCAGTATTGGATCAGGAGAATCGCTTGGAAAAACTCCACAGCTGCACTCACTACTCTCATCCCCTTTTATATCCGCCGATGTACCTCTTACTCCAATACTCACCAGAATAAACCAAAAAGTCAATTTCATCATTTTCATTTTAAAATGCCACAACACCGTCACCCGATTATTATCTCCCCAAATAAATTATTTCAAGAACTTTGACGATTAGTTCAACTCGTTGTCATCCACCGATGGCAAATGACGGCTGTCAATAAGTTCACAGCTAAGAATTGCTCATTGTCTTTTCATTACAAATAGATATGGAATTTATCAACCATAACTCCATGGTCTGGAAGTGTCATAACTACCTATTGTTCCATGTGAAATGACACTCAAAAGTTTTCACAATGTGAGAAGTTCTGAGAATCAATAGCTCCTTTAAATACCCGTGAAACCACTGTTTGCATAAACTTGAGAGGAACTTTTTCTCTCGCATTTCATTTACCGTGAGATCCAACAATATTCACGTTTCATGGACCATGAATTTTATATTCCCCATCGTGCATATCTTCAGTTATGTACGTTTGATTGAATACGGTATGATTTATTCACGTATGAATAAATGCGAAATAAAACATCGGATTGAGAGTGAAATTTGTTGTTCCCTCAGTATTTACTCCCGGAATTATTTTGGATATTTATTTTGTTCCTCGTGAGTCAATACTTCTGCATTATTTCGAATTACTATCACTACCGGTTTAAATCAGAGATTAAGGCCCGGATGGACTGTCTAGAAAAGATAATTTACTCCAAAATTGGGACTTCTAATTACTCCGTCAATTAATCGTTTTTTCCGATAATTATACAACCGCTAGAACGCTAGCTAACAATTATTTAAAAAAAAAACGATTAATTGCCAAAGTAATTAGGAATCCGAAATTCGGAGTAAATTATCTTTTCTAGTTAATCCACCCGAGCATTAAGTCACCGAGTCCTGAGTTGTATTGTTCAATCGGATTTAAATTTTCGGATGAGACCCAGAAATTCTGCATTCACTGCATCGAATTTAATTATAATTATTAATAATTGTTAATTATCCAAGGAAAGTGTCTCGATTTTACTCTAACAGCCTCATTATCGCAGCGATGCAATTTTTTACTGCAGATTTAACGATCTCAGTCGTTGGTGTGTGAAAATTGTTGGTCGTTGGGATTCAACGACTGCTGTGGAATCACAAGGATACGAACAATCGGTGTTACGATCCACTCAACTCTCAATTCCCAAGTTCACTCGAGGAAACAACTCCGTAATTAAACTGTTGATTCCCGTAACATAATCTCACCTGAGAATGAAAAAATAAAAATAAACAGTCCATTTAAATCCTATCATTTCCAATTACCGGGCGCATTATCAATCTCTCCAATCGTTATCTGAGAGTGGACTTACGTGAGAATTGGCAGCGGCGATAATTCAGAAAGGGATAAAATAAAAATAATAAATCGACAACTCGTTTGTCTCATGTCAGTCGGTGGTGATCAGTTTGAAAATCTCAGGGAGAATGACTACCGAAGGGACTCAATCTCCTGGTAAAATCCTGTTGGCAGCCTATTCTGTCAATCATGTCATCGTACTTTCAGTCACTGGATATGTCCTTTATCTCGCTGGATGGGAACTAAATGTGACTAGTCTACATGTTGGACTCTGCACTGTGGGAGTACGTATGACACATTTGAATCGTTATGCTTTGAGCTTTTCATGAATTCAAAATGCAAAAGTCTATTCAGTTGTTCGGGTAATCCTCGGTGGAACAATGGTATATTTTTGGTTGTTGTTGTTTTTCTTTTTTTTTTAATTTTTGTTTCATTTTCTCTGTGTCCATCCATTGTTCGAGTGAGTTGGAGTGACTGTCGTTTATTTACTACCGAAGATTGAAAGCTCTTTTAGCTTTTTCTTCGTTCCGTAACGCGCATTCCGAATTATAAAGGATTAATTGAGTTTTTTTCACTTTGCCATTGGTTTTTTACTGGAGTTGAAGATCGTTTTTATTTTATTGGCAGTTTTAATTGGGTCGGTTGTCAATTATAGACAATATGAGTGTATTTTCTATTTCAGTTATTATTGCGTTTTTTTTTTTTATTGTGTGACACGTGATTTTGAGAGAAATGATCGGTATTGATTGTCATCACTCTGAAAATCGATACCAATCGTCGATCTTGTGATTGGCGAATGTGATTGCAATCGCCATGAATAAAAAGTCAATAAAACTGGAGCTCCACCCAATTTTTATACCGAAGATTAAATAAACATCGTGTTTAATTAAAACAAATTGTTCTTCCCAATCAGATAAATTCGATTCGATCGTAAGTCATTATTTCTGTGTCAATCGTTTATTCCGTTGTCTAAAAGTGAATGACTTTATAAATTTATAAATAAAATGAATAAAAAATATATTATAAATAAAATAAATAAGAAATGAAAAATGCGATTACGATTACGCACGAAAAATGATCTCCAATGGTTTCGATTTGTATGGACCGTCGCAATGCTGCCGCAAGCTTGCGGCAATGTACGATACCTTCGGTAATACTTGCGTCAATAAAACGGAAATATTTCTCCGGTTGTATCCGGATGCAGATCCAGGGTGAATGCTCATTGGAGTCCATCACTCAGATACCGTGCCCCATGAATACTGAATAATGCACAAACAATAAAAATTATTTTTTTAATCCCCTCCCACCGGGACAACAAAATCCGGGAACAACAATGTTGTGAGGTATTCCGATCATGAAGCTAACGAAATTTCCAGGAAACTGGAACAAACCGCATCCACCGCATATTGTCTCCACCCAATGACATCTGATCATTATTCAACTTTTAAATAATTCAAAGATAAACAAATCAGTCATTATAAAAAATTCACATCACACGTTCCAACATTGGTAAAAATTTCCATCGTCATTAAATAGTCATTACTATAATTACAATAATAATATTACAATTATAATATAATTGCAATAATAAAAAAAAATCCTCCGATAATTACTCATCATATTTCGCTAATTAAACCATAAATGAAGTTTAAAAAATCGCCAGCAACAATCAGATGATTAAATTTCATGGCTTCATCACTAATTAGACTCGAGCATTGAAAGTACAAGATTGGGTAATGGTGTAAAGAGATGTGCATCGAGTTACCTCATTAAAATATAGTTTTCATTATTCTCTTCTCCAGTACGTTTTGCTAATGTCCGAGGGACTGATGGTGCTGGCATCGGAGAATCCCTTATCACGTCAATTAAATGGATACAAGACAAGAAATCACGTACACTGGTGTCTTCAAATAATTGGTGGATCCTTGAGCATCGCTGGTACTTTGATCATGTTTCGGATTAAAAAAAATCACTTCAAATCCATTCACGGTATCTTAGGTATAACTTCGGTAGCAATAATGATTTTTCTTGGCATCTCTGGAGCATCTGTTTTTTATGCGTACCAACTGCGGAAGATTTTAAAACCTGTTGGTACTAAAGCCATGCACTATTCTCTCGGTATTTCTTGTTTTATTATCGGTATTGTATCCCAGTGTTATGGATACAATAAAAAATGGATCACTGAAAAATCTTCCCAAGATATTGCCACATTTTGCATTGTATTAACTGCTACCTCTGCTTTAATATGTCTCTATCGACCTATCGTATCGCTGTATCGACAGATTTCTGTTTTTCTCTTGAGGGGATGAATTTTTTATAAATAATCCACAGGATGATAGAATGCCTGGATAAATATTTATAGATTCAGAGCTGAATGTCGACTCGGGACTTTTTATGAAACGTTCTGGTATGCGCTGAACAGATTTATTTATTTTCATAAAATATACATTTGTTAGTGATAAGGGAATTGTTATTTAGTGTCAAAAAATTGTGAGTCTAATTTTAATTGAATTCATTTATTTCAATTATTATAAATTATGCATTTGATTGGTGAGTGAATAAATTTATGGTGGGATATCCACGTTTTATGGAAGAGGAATATTTTTTTTTTCTTTGCAGAAAGTTCAATCTATATTTGCGCCGATATCGTGTCGTTGCATTGACAAGTTCCTCCACCGGTCCCAGGAGTTTATATTCCTAATATAAAGAATGTGGAGAATAATAAAATCGGAGTATAAAAATTCATAAGATTGAAAGGCATTCGCGAAAAGTGACGGAGGACACGTCAACCCCAGAGGAACTTCTTGATATCGCTGATTGTCATGAAGATTTCCGATGAGAATTGAAGAATAAATTAAATCGATCAGCGAAGAGGTACCAGTTCATGAAGACTAGCTTCACGGATTTTCCGGGAGATATCGAAATCTCGATCGCAAACCCGATATTCGATATCATTCGATATGA